CCACTACTACCAGCACTACTACTAGCGCAGAATCAGCACTGCCAATGCCAAAGTGACTACTACTACTGCTGCTGCTGCTGCTGCTGCTACTGCTGCAACCACTCCGACGACTACGTACTACTGCTACTGCTACTGCTAGTGCAAATGCTGCTACTACTGCTATTCCTAACATTGTTACTACTGCCGCCACTAGCATGCGGCTGTCGCTCTCGCAGCTGGCCGCGGCTTTTGTTAATGGTGCAAATGATCGTGCGAAAGATCATGAGATTTGTGTTGGCAACGGGCAAGAGCATGATCGCTGCAAGCACAATCGTCCTGGCTTCGTACTTTCGCTCAGGCCGGAAGCCTGTGCTGTCCGAGGCTGGAATGAAGAACCACCCTGGCCCAAGCCTTCAGATGCCAGAAGATCGTGGAAGGCGCGGAAAGCCACAGCCCGGTTGCACTGCAAAGGGCTGCATGCAGGCCGGGAGAGGTAACGGAGTGTGTCGTTGCAGCATCGTAGCACTCATTTCTGCACAGCAGTGCTTTCCGGGTGTGGCGCCTCCCGCCAGAATCCAACCAAAGATTGAAGATGTACTTGTGAAACTTGCGCATGCATTTGCTTGTCTCCTTGGCACATGAGTCTGAAGCTTTTCTCCGCTGCACCTTTTCGCCCCAAGTGGGCCCACTGAGCCTGATTCGTTCGCTTCACGGCAAAAAGACATGTCCGATCGCGCCGTGCTTTCCTTTTGCTAAGTTGGCACCGGAGCCTGACCGAGCGGGAGGTTTCTTTTCTTCAGCCGCTATGCCGAGGGTTCCCGATGTCTTTAAGATGAACTCGGACGACGAGACCGGCAAGGAGGCTTTCCCTGTTGATGCTGGGGATGTCGCCCCCGATGGGGCGAGGGATGCAGCCCATGAGGCCTCCGTTCCGGTGGAGCACTTCGTGGAAGAGCAAGCCCCCGACTTCCAGGGACCTACTACAAGCGAGTGGCGTTGCCTTCGTTGCGATGGCGACAGGTGGGAAAGGAATGTGTATGGAGTTTGGTTGTGCTGTGGCTGTGACGGCACCGAGTTCTACTCCTGCAACCGCCCCCATCGCCATGAGACGGACGAGGGCGTCTGGATGTTCATGCCCAGGCGACCGACGACCCAAGGCCGCACCGGACCTCGAGCAGATGGGCCTGGCCAGCAGCTTCCTTCGAAGGCCCTCTCGAGACGAGAAAGGCGGCGGCAGCGCGTCGCGATGCAGCCTGGCGGTGGACCTCCAGAACCGGACTACGACGGCAACTCGGAGCTGCCGGAGTCCGAGGCACCTACCTTCGACCCGATTGTGGAGCCTGACACGGCTGATGATGATGCACCTCCCCGGCCACCAAGGCGACCGAGGAGGACGACTTCCTGCCCGGCGAGCCCACCTTCTTCCGGACCTACCTCACCACCGCGACCCTCGACTTTGCCAGCCACGACAATGGCGCAGACCGCGGCCAACCCTTCAAGGACTTCCGGGCCTGTGCTGCAAGACTTCGGCACCTCGGCCCTTACCCCAGGCGGTGGCAGCGCAACTACGTGGAAGAGCAGGATGGGACCAGAACGTGGGGAGAGATGGCGCGGAGGCTACCTGGCGGTACGATGCGCAAGATCCTCGCGCATATTCCAAGTTCGCCAAGAAGGTGTCTCTGTGGCGCATACGGTGTCATCATATATGACACCGCGCGAGGCAGCGTTGATGCTCTACACGAGCCTCACCGGGGAAGCGGAAACGGAATTGGAACATGCTCCCATCGAGTCGATCAACTCCGACAAGGGGATAGAGTTCATTCTGGAGACCCTCCGTGCGCCAATGGAACAAAAACTTGTGTTTCAGAAACGCAAATTCCTGAGCGAGTACGAGAATATCCAGAGGCAGCAAGGCGAGGGGCTCCGTTCCTTCAGCAACCGCTATAGGCGCGCAGAACGGAACCTCAGAGCTGTTGGTGTGGAGGTCGGCCAGATGTACGACAACGACAGCCGGGGCAATCACTTGCTTGAGCGGGCAAGGCTTTCGCCCCAGGACCAGCGGCTGATACTCGTTGGCAGCCGCCGGAGTTTCGTGCTCCGCCTCCGGTGTGCGGCCGGGACGGACAGCCGATTCCCCGCAAAGGCGATGGCAAAGGAAAGCCCGGCTCTACTTCGGCGGCTTCTTCCTCGACTTCGCACGGGCACGGCCCCAAAGGCTACCCTGGCAGGGGCGGCCCGCGCAGAGTGTACAAGACCGACCAGGTCGAGGAGGCGGCCCTGGAGGAGATCCCCGAGGAGGAGTCGCAGGACGAGCGCGACGACCACCAGGCCGATGACGCCGCCGACGCCCCCGACAACGACGACTTCCTCGACAACGAGCCGGACGAGAGCGCGGACCCGATCACCGAGGCGCTGGACGTTCTCACGGTCACGGCCAAGAAGCTCAGTTCCCTTAAGCTCGGGCGGAAGTTCAGCGGTGGACCTCGTGACGGGAAAGGCCAGCGGGACGGCCGAGATGGCAAAGGCGCTGGCAAGGACGTGGCGGCCCAAAAGCGGGTCACACATTGTGCCGCCTGTGGGGAGCGCGGCCACTGGAAAGGAGACCCCGAGTGTCCTATGACGACCTCCTCCCAGCGGCCCTCTTCTTCTTCGTCTTCGGCAACCCCTGGCGGCACCGGCGGGAACAAGGATCGGCGATCCCACCAGGCCTTCTTTGTCAAGGACTTCGGGGCCCTGGAGGTGACGGACCAGCCCGCCAACAAGCACTACGGCAAGATGTTTCAGGTGAACGTGGTTTTCGGTGTTCAGGCCCGCAGCATGCACGAGCCAAGCTTCCGCGGCATGATGATTCTTGACACCGCGTGCCAGCGCACATGCTGCGGGACACGCTGGCTTGCTGAACAGGCTGCGCTTTTGGATGAACAGGCACTGCAGTGGCATAGCGCTCCTCTGCAGGACGTTTTCCAGTTCGGCTCGGGGCCTCCGCTCAAGGCGAAGCAGCGAGCTTACCTTCCCGTTGGGATTGGAGGTGTGGACCTCCTCATCGGAGCCGGCGCCCTCGAAGTAGAAATTCCTTTGCTGGCTTCCAATAGGCTTCTTGATGCTCTGGGTATGGTTCTTGATTTGCCGAACAACCTTGTGACGTTTACCGCTTTGCATGTGACGGTGCCCCTCCTTAGGATCCACGGGCACCTGACAGTGAGCATTGTGCAGTTCAGTGGCAGCATGCAGTCATGGCACAGTTTGCAAAGCAGTGTTGATTGGAACGATCCCCCTCCGGAGCTTGTAGTCCAAGGTGATTTGGCGACTTTGCCCTCTCCTTCCGCAACACCCGCGTCACATGCCTGGGCTGACGACTCAGCTGGCGACTCCCCCGCAATGGTTGCGCAAGTGGCGGAGGTACGTGGCGGCCCTCCTCGACTTCAAGAAGAACTTCTTCGTGACGCTGACCACGGCGGTTCGCCTCGGCATGCTTCCGGACTCCGTCTACGAGGCCGTGCCGCCGATCCTGGACAACCAGTTCGCGAATCCGCCCTCGAGCCGCAAGCGCCCGGAGTACACAAGGTATGGGAACGCGTACGGGAAATTCGCCCGGTGCAAGAGATGCCTGAAGCGTTGGAGGTGGAACCAGGAGCACCGAGTCTGGGAAGAACACCCCGACAAGGACTTCGACTGCAAGCTTTTAAGTTCGCAGCCTCCCTTGCCGTCTTCCTCCAATACTGTACCTCGGGGCTCGGTGTCTTCGGCGGCAACCCGCAAACCTTCGACCCGGGCCTCCTTGAACGCGGCATCGCCCAAGACCTTCTCGGCACCACCGAGGCGCGCTTCCCGACGGAACCGGCCGAGCAGCAGCAGCGAGATGGACGTGGACCCATGGCGCCTTCTCCAGGACGACACGGACCTGGACTTCGACTGGGCACACGTCGACGATTAAAGGGAGACTGGGCCCGGTCAGCGCGCATCCTGGAGAGCGAGGTGGATATGTACCAAGGACAACCTTCTACGGCAGCACGACCCCCTCACACGGTGGACCTCCTGGTGATCCACGACTTCGGCTTTGACCTTTGCGGCGACGCGGCGGAGCTGAAGCTCTCCTCGACTTTGTTGCCGGCCGTGCTGACCAACGACCTCCCTCGCGGACCGGCTTCACGACGACAAGCACTACGAGCACTACGACGGCTTCGGCCACACGTTCTTTGTGTTTCGCTCCTCGACCACCACCTTTACGACTTCGAGGACGGCTTCCTCTTCGAGATGATGCAGGAACAGATGGACGCAGGACGGGCGTCACTGGTGATCGGCCCCTCCGGGCAAGGTCTTCAAGGTGTGGCTTCTTCCTTTGAGATGAACTGCACCACCTTCGGGCACGGCCGTGCGGCCACGACCCTTGCTACGACTATCCCGGGGGCTTCTTCTTGGTTTGGGAAAGACGACCACGGCTACACCCCGGACTTTGTGCACCACCGGGACGCCTTCCTTTACATGATTCGGGACTACGTGTGCGGCAAGGACCCCGCACGGTTTGGCATTTTCCAGGCGTTCGTGACTTACCAGAGCCCGGTTTCTCGACTGGAGGAGTGGGACGATATTGCCGAGATGCTGAGCCGTTCTTTTGGCAACCCGGGCACGCGCCCCTACTACATCGACCCTTCCTCCGAGGCGGGACGAAGGATTTCGGAGCTTTTTCGCATGAAGCTTGAGAAGATCCAGGCCGTGCAGACACCCTCGCAGCGCAGGTTGCCACAGGACATCCCGTACACCCGACGGCAGCAAGGCGGTGGAGACTGAGGACCTGAGGCTGGTTCGGCACCCCAAGCAAAGGTTCACCAAGCCGGTGAGGTGCGGCATCTTGGTGTACGGCCACCTCATTGCCGATGAGCTGCAGGACCGGCCACTCGAACCACAGGCCCCTGTACCTGGCCTTCCGACCGACGTCTCCTTCCCCGACCTCTCTCCTCAGGTGCCAGTGGAAGTTCGCCGGTCGATTGCTCGTGCCCACATCAACTTGGGGCACCCGACAGCTCAGGAGCTCATTCGCATGGCCACGGCTTCCGGCTCCCCCAGCAGCTTGTTCATCGAGGCGATCCGGAAGCTGAAGTGCAGCACGTGCGAAAGACTCAAAGGACCTCAAGCACCACGACCCGCGACTGCAACAACCAACGCCTTCCAGTTCGGCGACCGGGTGGAGGTTGACATTTTCTACCTGAGAGACCTCCAAGGCCGCAGCTGCATGATTCTTGGAGCCGTGGATGTGGCCACAAGGGTTCATCAGGCCGGCTTCCTTCGCAGCCGCGAGCCCCAGGACGCCTACGACGTGCTGGACAACATCTGGCTTAAGCCCTTCGGCCTCATGACCCAGATCGCCCTGGACCCTGACACCACTTTTCAAGGTGCCTTTCAGGAGCGGTTGCGCTCCCGCGGCGTGATGGTGGACTACTGCGCGGCCGAAGCACATTGGCAGATTGGCCACGTGGAGCGCCAGAACGCTTTCCTTCGCACGGTGATGGAGAAGCTCGTGGACACCTTCGCCGCCACCAGCGTGACAGATATCAAGTTGCTCCTGGCCCCGGCGCTGCACGCAGTGAACAGTATGACGCTGAGCCGGGGAAGGTCCGCTTTGCCACGACTCCCAGGAGGCTTGCTTAGCGATTTCAACGTGCTGACGGCTACTCCCACGGATGACCCGGCGGCAACCGCAGAGATCATTAGATTGGAAACTCTGAAAACTCTTTATGATCTCAATGTGCGACAAAGCATGCGGCGGGCCATCCTTCGCAAGACGCGTGACACCAAGGTGCCCCAGCTTCAGCCTGGACAGGCCTGCTCTTTCTGGCGCTGGCGAAAGAAAGGGCTGAAGAAAAGAGGAGGATGGATCACCGCTCGATTCCTCTCTTGGGATCCAGCCTCCCCTGGGAAAATGGCCTGGGTCCGATCCGGCACCACCACGGCACTGGTCGCAGTGGAACAGCTCAGGGCAGCGACCGGTTTCGAGGCTTGGCTGCCAACCGAGCCCGACGTTGCGGCACTCAAGGACGCTTCGCAGACCCTCGACCAGGCCCTTTGGACAGACGAGACCGGACCCGCGCCAGACCAACGACAACAGGCGGATGACGCCGAGATGCCGGACCTGGACGCCCTGGCAGGAAAGGACATGGAGATGGCAGCGGCTTTGACTTCGGCTTCTTCACTTCCTGCAGCGGCGGCTTCTTCGAGTACGCCGCCTCCCGTGGAGACTTCTCAAGTTACGCTGGACGTGGACCAGACAGTGCAGAACTTAGTGTACCGGCCCACCGTCCAGAACACCTTCGTGCGGAACGTGGCAAGACTGGGAGACCCTTCAGCTGGAGCAAGGCGTGGAGCTTCGATTCCACGCACCCCACGGGGCACTTCTGCGCCGAGGACGCCCAGGAGCCGCTCACCAGCGCCACCGGCGAGACCCGTGGCGGACACACGAGCCGAAGAACTACAGGAACCACCAGCGCAGCTACCACAAGAACTTCCGGAACCACCTGTCCCAGACGGTTCTCAGACACGAGCCGAAGAACGACAGGAACCAGCGCAGCTACCAGAAGAACTTCCTGAACCACCTGTCCCTGAGGTACCAGTACCAGAGACACCCTTGGAACCAGGTTGGGAGTCTGCACCTTTTTCTTCGGCAGCTTACGAGTCCGAGGCAGAGCCTGAACCACTACAACCAGCCGAGTTGGAGCAGCTCTTCTCTACAACAACCGGAGCACGAGGACGTTCAACCACAGGGTCAACTCCTTTGGCGGCTTCTTCTGGGGGAGCACCAGGCCAAGAAGCAGCTTCAGCAGACAGCACGTCCTCAGCACGGCCTCCAACGACGCCTGTTACCAGCGAGCCTTCGGCACAGGAAGGAGGCCAGCCAAGCTTGCTGCCGGCCAAACGCCCTTTCGAGGCCCTGACCACCTTCTTTCGAGCTTTACCATTGCACTCCCGGCAACGAGCTGACTGAAGGTTACGGCCCTAAGGAGGAGCGCTGCTACAAAGCTTGCCTCAACTCCAAGCACCGCCTCGACGACGTCCAGAACCTCGACAAGCAGGCCGCCGACAGCGACACCAGCGACAGCGACTGGAGTGACGTTGCGCCGTCAACGAAGGAGCGCGGCATGAGTCGCGCCGAAGCCAAGGCGCTCGACCGCGAGATTCCCTGGAGACAGATCCTCGACATGGACCCCGCCGACATCAAGGCGTACGTCGCGGCCACCGAGAAGGAGGCAAAGAGCTGGCTCGAATGGGGCTCCGTCAAACCCCTGAGCCACACCGAGGCGCAGTCAGTACTTCGAGACAAGGTGCTGGCAAAAAGGGTCCTCAGGACCCGCAGCTGCTTCCGGGACAAGAACAAGGGCCTAGGCCAGCTGGCGGCCAAGTGCAGAGTGGTCGCTTTGGGCCACCGCGACCCGGACATCTACAGGCTGAACCGCGAATGTGCCACGCCGAACCGGACCTCGGAGCACGTCCTGTTCATCATCTTGACCTCCGGGAGTAACTCCGAGTTCGCCGACTCAATCAAAAAGTGGTTTGGCTGGGCCGGGGACGCCTCGACGGCTTTCCTTCAAGGAGACCTGTCAGACGCAGAGCGAGAGCTCCCGCTCTACCTTCTCCCTCCGAAGGACGGAGTGACTGCTTTGACTTCGTGCTGGAAGGGCCCTTGTACCTCGTTTGCACCAACGTGTACGGCCTCAGCAACGCGCCCCGCTTGTGGTCCCTCACGGTCATCAAGCGGCTGACCGACCTTAACTACAGGCAGCACTCCTTCGACAAGATGGTTTTCCCGAAGTTCTGCCCTCAAGGACATCTGCTTTCGACTATCATCGTCTACGTCGACGACTTCCTCGGCGCCTACCGCTCCGACTACAACCTCGACGAGGTCAAGGAAGCCTTTAAGTGGGGTTCCCTGCAGGACTTCGAAGTTGGCAAGGCGGTGACCTTCAAGGGGAAGCAGATCACCTTGAAGCAGAAGGCAAATGGCCGACACTACCTTCACGTCTGCCAGAAGGAGTTCATCGGCGGCATGACCTCCGGGAAGGTGCCTCGTGGAGCCGACTTAAGCTCCACACTTACAGCAGAGCAGCGCGCGGAGTTCCGCAGCGTTACTGGCTGCCTTCAGTGGGTTTCCGGACAGAGCCGCCCAGAACTCTCAGCGGTGAACAGCCTTTCGAACCACGGCGGCGCTACAACCCTCGCCGACCTCAAGGCTCTCTACGAGGCAGTGAACTTCGCCTCCGCCACCAAGGACAATGGCTTCATCATCCCGGACGTGCCCGTGAACACAAGCAGCGTCCTTCTTTCCCTCAGTGACGCAAGTTGGGCAAACGCCGAGAACTGCCGTTCTCAGTGCGGCGTCCTGGTGCTCTTGTGCGCACCCCACGTGCTGGAGAAGCCCGCAGAAGCAATGCTCTTGGATTGGCGCTCGAGCCGTTCGCAGCGAGTGTGCCGCTCAACCCTGGCGGCAGAAGCTTCAGCCGCCGACGAAGGCTGCGACCGAGGTGTCTACATCAACCTCTTTCTCAGCGAGATCCTTTGCAACGTTGCGGCCCACAAGGTTAAACCTCGACTGAGCCAGCTTGCTGTTACAGACGCAAAGTCCCTCTACGACTGCGTCGTTTCGGACAGTCCGAACTTGAGCGACAAGCGCTCCTTGGTGAACATACGTGCGATCCAGGAAGTCGTGCCAGGCAGCTCCTTCCACTGGGTCCCGACGCAGCTTATGTTTGCTGACGGACTGACCAAACACTCTAAAGAGTTGCAGCAGACGATGCACGACTGGCTCCAGCAACCGAAGGTTACCTTAAAGCAGCAAGACTCATGAGCCAAAAGAGAATTATAGCAGTGTGAAACTTGCGCATGCATTTGCTTGTCTCCTTGGCACATGAGTCTGAAGCTTTTCTCCGCTGCACCTTTTCGCCCCAAGTGGGCCCACTGAGCCTGATTCCTTCGCTTCACGGCAAAAAGACATGTCCGATCGCGCCGTGCTTTCCTTTTGCTAAGAGTACTAGAAGGTCACTGGTAGCCATTGTAAACAAATCTAAATGTGGGGAAGCGAGAGACTGCTTTGTTGGTACTGTCTTGGAACCTTGGGTCTCAACAGTGCAACCTAGATCAACTCCGCTCTTGGGCTCTGCGACTGGACTCCTGCAACACCATCCTGAGGTCCTTTGAGGGCACCAGGCGGACAGACATGTACCAAAACCCAACGCCTTCGAAGAGGAACCAAGTCTGGGTCAACACAAAGTCCATAACCTGAATTTGACGTCACTGTGTCCTCACCCCTCTAAACTCGAGACGCTCAGCCGACATGTTGAATGTGTGCAAGTCGTTCCTTCCTCGGAACGCTCAGCCTCACTAAAGCAGCCAGGTGCATGGCCAACTTGGCTTCGCAACCCGAGGTGCGCGACTGGGCCAGGCAGGCACCAGCGCTGCAGAGTCGGGGCCCTTGGACTACGGAAGAGGACGTTTTTACCAGACCAGGTTTGGAGCGTGTTCCAGGGTCGGGAAGTTCAGCTACTCATTTCATGAAGTCCGGCTGCAGCTTCTGCTTCCTGGCCTTGTGGCATAAATCTTTGTGCCTGTATCCAGTTTCCAAGCAAAGGCCCGAGGCTCGAGATTTGCTTGGGACAAGAGGGAGTTTGGAGTCTAGAGGCTGCATGCTTGATCGACATAGCCGTTGAATATGTTCGTAACCCTTGTTTGGCTGTTGCGAGATATGACTCCGCTGACGTTTCCAACGTGCGCTTTCGCAAGCAGGAAAGGATAAATTGGGTCAAGGACTGATTTCGTACTCTCCACCACTGTCAAGGTTCTCCATCTTCTCAACCCAGCTGAAAGCTCGTCGTGCAAGGTGGCTCAAAGCCCCAAGCGATGCACCAAGGCCTGCACGAAGCAACGGGCGACCTGACGGTGCGGGCTTATCTAGGCACCGGAGTGTTCTCAAGATGTGCCGGGAAAGCTTTTCTGTGTAGTTGTACTGAGAGGCTTATGGTTTTCCGTGATCCGGTGATCCCTAGATTTCTGTTCTTCAACTTGCAGTGTTCGACATACAGGCCCTAGATTCTAAGCTCCGTGGAAGCCTGTAAGTATCGCACGATGCTGCATCTGTCTTCGGCAGGCATGGCTTTGGGCATGGAGTCCTGAAGTCATTCTCGGGTGATTTTTTGGCAATGTACAAACTATGCCACAGAGTCTGAGCTCTGGGGCTTCTCGACCGCCGGTGGCCTGGAATGTAAGCATCTGGCCTGCGAGCGAACACCGCTTGCGAGGTGGAAATCCTGAGTACTGTTGGTTGCATGGTTGCGTGGACGGCAAGATCAGAATCATCCGGGGAATATGTGTCTCCATCTGTTCCATGGCTGTCTCGGCTCATCCTCACGTCAGGGGCAGCGCAATGTACGCTGGTCCACGCCCCACATGGGGTCCGGAACCCATGTCGGTGAAAGAACTCTCTCGCGCTCTCTCTCTCTCTCTCTAGCTCTAGTGCACGTTTTTTTGCCCAAGGTTGCCAAACTGGCAATGTGCTTAGCTTGATCTGCGTGGCGCTGGCCGTTTCCAGCGGCTGCCACAATGCACCTAAGTTGCATTAGGGTATACTATGTTCGAAACGATGTTAATGTGCAAGCGTGACTAATCTCCTGGCGTCTGGAGGAAGTTTGCATTCTTCCTTGTGCTCTTGGCGCCGGCGCTGGCGCTCAAGGGAAGATTGCGGAGAAGCGCGAAGGCACAGTGTACCTCTCCGGTTCATGCAGTGGATGGAGGTTATGTCGTGCGACTTGCTCAAATCTTGTGAAGTCGCTCAAGGGATCCAGACTCTCACGAAGTTTATCCTGTCGTGGGTGTAGGGCCAAGGGTTTTGGTGTCCTTGTTGTCGTTTCGGCAGGGAAGCAAGAAGAAAGCTGAGGTATGAGGCCTCCAAGATGGCTCACAGCTTCAACGTGACTGCGAAATGCGCATCGGACTACAAGGGCATTGCTTCCGTCTCCAGATGCAAAACTGCTGGCACTCCGTATTCACTCACGGGCTGTGTGCCAGAGACATGTGCACCGCCTTCAGACGGGAAGGGGTACGAGCTCAAAGCCTTTTCGATAGACCGGCCCAGCTTCAGCGTGTCTGTGAAGTGCAGCAGCGGAATCGGACATGGCAGGGCCAAGGTGTGCACAAAAGATGGCGAGCCTTACACGCTCGAGGGCTGCTACATCGGTCAGTGCACATCGCCGGTCGGCAATGCGGCGCAAGGCTATGTCGTGCAGCTTTCCTGCAACAGCATCAGTTCAACACGAGCACACTGTCCCCCATACTACCAACAGTGCGAGACTAATTGGTCATGCCAAGTTGCCGGGAACTGTGAGATGGCACTACCTACCATGCACTGTCACAGTTTCCATATGTGTACGTACATAGTATATAAAATATAAAAACTAGCTAGGTGCAGCTAGGTCGATTTAGTTCCATACGTAAACATGACCCGGCCAGTGGCCAGCATCATCAAAATCAGCGGTTTCCAAGTCTGTTTGCATGCTGTGTTTAGCTTCAGCAGCTTTGGTGCATTCAACCGTTTTAAGGACACAGGGCAGGAGAAACGGAGGTCCGATGGTGCAGGGTCAGAAAATGCTACTCGTACCAATAGCGGTGTTGCCCTTCTGTATCAGCACACATAGCGGTTGCCACTGAGAGATGGTGTTTGTGAAGCCAGTCTCACGCTTGTCAGGAAGGTTTTGTGAACAGGTGGTTTCGCCACGAGATTTCGTGAGTGAAGTCTCCAGCAGGTCTCCAAGAGATTGATTGGGCATGGTTCTGGGTCTTACGGCTGCATTGCTGTCATAGCATCGCCTGCATGAGAGATTCTGCAACATAAGGTACGAAGGTTCCAAGATGCCGCACAGCTTCCATGTGACCGCGTCATGTGCTGCCGGCTACAGAGGCACGGCATCCGTGTCTGCCTGCAAGGATGCAGATGCACCGTACTCTCTCACCGGCTGCGAGCCTGAAGCTTGTACTGAGCCCAGCTCGACGGAGACGGAAGGCTACGAGCTGAAAGTCCATTCGCTGCAGCGGCCAAGCTTCAGCGTCTCTGTCAGATGCAAATCTGGCATTGGGTTTGGAAAGGCCAAAGAGTGCACAAAGGACGGTGAACCCTACACAGTTGAGGGCTGCTACATGGGTGAATGCACATCACCTGCTAACCTGGCCGATCATGGCTATGTAGTGTACCTCGTCTGCAGAATGCACCACGATTGTTTCCAGCTTTGCATAGTGCGATGAGCCAGAACCCGACGGTTGCAGCTGGGGCATTTGGTAAGTTGAGGGAGATCAAAGTCTAAGGTACGAAGGCTCCAGAATGCCTCACACTTTTGATGTTCGAGCCACTTGTGCCGTCGGCTACAAGGGCACGCCGGAGGTCAAAGCATGCGACACAACGCAGCAGCCGTACTTGCTCACTGGATGCAGCGCGGAGAGTTGCGTTGAGCCAAGTGTCGTCGACCAGGCCAACTATGAAGTCGACATCCACTCGCTGTCCCGGCCATTCTTCCGCGTGACTGCCAAATGCAAGCATGGCTTTGGAACCGCCAAAGTGAAAGAGTGCCACAAAGATGGCGACCCATTCGAGCTCGAAGGCTGTATGGATGCTTGTGCCTCGCCCAAGAAAGCTGCGGAGGCTGGCTATGTGGTGTGGCTTGTCCCGCGCTGATACTAAGAGACTTAGTCTGAAGTACTGCTTGGCTTCCAGCTTTGAGAAACCTTGACTCAAGGTTCGAGGAAAAGCTGGTGATGAACGAATTCTCAGTGTCCGCCAGTTGTGCTGATGGATACAAGGGCACCGCGACAGTAGGCAAGTGCGGAGCTGCTAACGAGCCGTACATCTTGACGGGATGCTCACCCGTGACATGTGCTGAGCCAAGTGCTGCAGACAAGGCTGCATACGCTCTGACAGTACATTCTGCGGAAATGCCATCGTTCAACATCGTGGCCAACTGCAAGAACGGCGTTGGAACTGCCAAGGCCAGGGCATGTACCGAAGATGGACAGCCTTTTGTACTGGAGGGCTGTCCGTCTTTATGTATCTCTCCGAAGAAAACCGTCGAGCACGGGTACACGGTGTTACTTTGCAGCATGCCTGGCCAAGGGGAGCTCTCAGTTTTGTTTGCCCCTTTCCACCGGTTTTGAGCAAGGCCTGAATGCAAGCAGTGTCACCTAAAGCAGGAAGTAGCAGAGTCACGATTGGCCCCGAGTAGTTCAGTTAAGGTTGGAGAAGTCCTTGCTGATGAGCGACTTCGAGGCCCACGCAGTCTGTGCAGATGGCTACACAGGCGTGGCGGCTGTGGCCAAGTGCGCAGCACCGAACGAGCCGTACTCCCTCAGCGGCTGCTCACCGGCGAAGTGTGCCGAGCCGAGCAATGCGGCGGCGTATGACTTGACGGTTTTATCAGTGGAGGTGCCGTCATTCAGTGTTGTGGCCAAGTGCAAGAACGGTGTCGGAACTGGAAGGTCCAAGGCCTGTTCCAAAGAAGGAGCGCCTTTTGTACTGGAGGGCTGCCCCTCCATGTGCAGCTCTCCCAAGCGCACCTCCGAGGATGGTTACGTCGTGTGCCCTGGCGTTTCTAGTGGCTTTTGTTCTATGGTGCGATTCCGGCTGCATGTGCGGCTCCGCTAAGGTTTGAGAAGTCCTTGTTGTTTGACGACTTCACTGCGCATGCAGTCTGTGCGGACGGCTACACCGGCAAAGCCTCTGTCGGTAAGTGCAGCGCAGTGAGTCTTCCGTACACCCTGGGTGGCTGCGCACCAGCAAAATGCGTGGAACCAACTGGGGCTGAAATGTTCAATTACAACATCGCGGTCAACAGTCTGTACCTGCCAACATTCAGTGTTACGGCAACGTGCAGAAATGGATCTGGTCGTGGCAAGGCTTTGCCATGTCAAGGCGACAGGCTGCCCTACAAGCTGGAAGGCTGTGATTAGGAATTCCCAGAGGGTCCAACTGTCAAAAGAAGGTCTTGCTCTGACTCGGCCTAATCGGAAGGATCTCCCGGCATGCAGTGGGTCAAAGCTGCTTCTGGCCTGAACCGTTGCAGCACCGCGCGTGTCAGGCTCGAATAGTGAGGCTTCATGAGCCATTAAGAATCACACCGCACGGCAATGCCGAATCTGGCATGAACGCAAGTATACGCATGAACACCCTTGACCCCTCGTTCAGATGCTAGATCGTGTTTTTTGGTGCTATTTATCTGAGCTTAGCGGTGCCATTGGCTACCTGGGTAGAGACAAGGCTAAAAGCAGATTGACCTTGTAGAAAGTCGTTGCTTGGCCAAGCAGTGCTGGCATCAGTTGCGCAAAGCATGACGCAGCTTCCAATGCAGTCGGCATCTTGCGGCCATCGAGTGTATTTGGCAGCGCAGAATACTTTCCCTGCGATGCTCCGAGGCCCCAGGCTGGATAGAGATGAGCTCGGGTGCAGATGCCGGCGCTGGCACTTGGCTTAGATTAGGAAGCAGATTTCACATGTAGAAGCGGCTTTTCAAAGCAAAGACCATGAACGCGACGGCTGCTGACATCTAGAGAAGCAAAAATTCGACATCTCTCTCTGTCCTTCTGCTTCCACGGTCCGCGCCCTGAGGTTCAGTGCGCGTACGAAAACACAAGATATCGGCAGTCAATATGAGTATGAGGTGTCGACAGTTTTACACGGAAGAAGCATGCCACCCACCGGACATGCACCGATCCCAAGCAGCTCAAACGTTTCCGGCGCTTTCGAGGTGTTCCCCCGACAGCGCCAGCGGCAGCCGTGCCTGCACCGCCTCACGAGGCCAGCAGGTCTTTCCTACAAGAACAGGTTCCCAAAAGTTTCTGCCCATGCGCAGACGCAGACGGTCGCTACTGCCTCCGCTCCACAGCTAGGGGCTTACGATGGCTTACGTTGCTGTGAAGTTGTGAGGTTTCGCCTCTTGTAAGGTCTTTGCCGGCTCTACCAGAGGAGGCCGAAGCCGGCGACGGACGGAGAGAGGAGTGAAGCCGAAGCCTCTGGGTCGGGGCGTAAACCCAGAATTAGGTTGGGCTTTGGCTTCCAAAAAACACTTCTGCGATAGACTGCTGTGACCGAGCCGGGCTCGGCGAGAGGCGTTGGAGCATTACTCATGTTGTTTGTTTGAAGTCTGTGCCTGGTGCGCGGGCTGTCATGTGTCTTGGTGATCGACTGCAGGGTTCTCGTCACTTCTCGTCGACTTGAGCCATGGTATCCGTTCCTCCAGGAGTCGGACTTGTTGCAGTACTCACAGACTCTGGGCCAAGAGCCTAGTGGCCTAGTGATGCTAAGTCGCTTGATTCCTCGAATGCTCACCATGAGCGACCCAGACCCAGGTATTGACCTCACACAGCACTCTGACTTGCTTTGGGTCGTCCAGGAGGAGGGTGCGGAACGGCAATCACGGGAGCTGGGATCTGGGAGCGATTGCAGGCCTTCAATGCTCCGTTGCCGTTGAGCTGGACCGAGTACACGGACGACGAGGGTCGTGTCTACTTCTTCAATCAGGCTCGCATGCTACGTGCTGCAGCTGCTCAGGCTGTCTGCTGTTGCCCATAATCCTACTCTGTTCTGCCGGACAATGACGATGATTAGGATGACGATGATGATGATGATGATGTTCAATGAGAAGTCATTTTGGTGGTGCTGATGGTGAGGAGGAAAGCCAAGCATGCTGATGCTGAGGATGATGACGATCGTGATGGGATTATAGCGATGCTGCTTTTGTTCATGGTGATCAGCATGAAGATGTCAAGTACAACAGACAATAGCAATGATCATAGCGGCCGCTTTGCTGGTGCTGTTGTGCAGCTGGTGCGCACAGCAGACACAGATTTTACAACCTCCAACACTTTGGCTTTTCTCATCGGGGGGTCGCCTTAGCATCCAGTCCAACCCTGCTCTTGTTCTGGGGGGTGGCAATGTAGTAGTGACTGGTAGGAGCTTGATTCAAAGCTCTCGAGCAGTCTCCGTCCCGTGCCAGTCATCGAGCCAGTCCACTTGGGAACATCCCATGGACGCGGTGTATCGTGAATTGCTCAGTGCGGCCCTTGGTTTTCGGAGCTGAACAAGCTCATGCTGCAATGGACCAGTTGGAGCATCCGTGAGTAATGGCTGCTCAGCTGTGCTGGGTAAGTTCGTTTTCAAGACGGATGCAGCAAGCACCAGACTCTAGACGTGACAAAAGACGTTCATTCCACCGTCCGAGCTTGGCAACTCGACCTGTCTTCCGCAGCTCACAGCCTCACTGGCATTGGTAGCTTCTCTGGACGCCATGGGTTCAGCGGCCTCTACCAGCTTGAAGTCGGCCGCTGCTGGTGCGACGGACTCCCTTGCAAGCTAAGGTGATGCAGATCGGAGTCAGGGGGTTTCAGTGCTTTCGGGTGCAAGATGGTTGAATTGGAATGCTTCGGATGCTGAGAGGACCAGGAGCTTGCCGCAGCGCTGTCACAGCTGAATGCGGCAGACTTGCAGAAGTTGAAGTCTGCCGTGGCTGGCAGGCAGCGTGTGGTTGTCGAGCCTCGACGTGAATTCACACTGACTTCCGCGACTCGCGACTGCATGCTTTGCTAGCAGCTAGCACGTGTACAGACTGCTCCAGGTAGGGTGGGGCCCGGTGGGCCACGCCGTTGTGGCGAAGCTCTTGGCCAAAAGCGGAGCCCTTCAAGTTGTGGTCATCAGCGAGGAGAATTACCCCGCCTATAACAGGGTGAAGCTGACTACCTTCTTTGAGCATCGGGATCCCAATCAGCTGGCCCTCAGTAGTGCTGCCCTCAGACCAAGCCTACGGGACAGAACGTTTGAGCCTGAGCGCGGCCTCTGCGTCCGAGGTGTGGAGTGGTGTCAGTCCAATGGCGTGGAGCTGCTCCTTGGAAAGGCGACGAAGATCGATCGTGCTGCGAAAAGCGTAGAGTACACCACACCGAAAGGCGGGGCCTCCTCTGTGGTATTCGAGAGCTGAATGCCGGAATGCCAAGTGGGCTTTACAGGTGAGGTGAAGAGCACTGCCTACGACCAATTGGTGCTGGCAACAGGGAGTAAACCGTGGCTGCCGCCGGTACCAGGCCTGTCTCTCGATGTGCCTTGCCTGCACCCTGTGTTTAGTGGCGTGTGCCTCGGCACGTATCTGCATCTTATTTCCGCTTTAGTCACCTCTACCCCTACGCTATGACTACGAGGTGCCCGGTGTGCATGTTTACCGGACGATCGATGACCTCTTCCAGGCAGGACTTCTGTCACTCTCAAGCCGGGGAGTTGTGTCCGCGCCATCGCAGGTCACGGAGAGGGCCAAGAATGCGAAGGCTGCTGCAGTGATTGGGGGAGGCCTTCTGGGTCTGGAAGCTGCCAAGGCGAGATGGCAGAGGGCAGTGTCTTGTGCGTGAGCAGGCCCGCTCTGATTTCCGCAGGCAGCCTACGACCTGAAACTGGAGACGTACGTGCTGGAAGTGGCGCCTGGGCTGATGCCGGTGCAACTGGATGCTGAGGCCGGCGCCATGCTCAAGGGCAAGATCGAGTCTTTGGGCATCAAAGTTCACACAGGCGTGAAGGTCCTCGAGGTGCTGACGGGCGACGGTGGCTTGCAAGGGGTGAAGATCGAGGTGGGAGGCCAAGAGCAGGTCTTGGACGTCCAGCTGCTCATCGTGGGCGCAGGCGTGCGGCCGCGGCAGGAGCTTGCAGAAGCCAGCGGACTCGAGTTGGGAGGCCGGGGCGGAGTGAAGACGGACCACACGATGAGGAGCGTGACGGATGAGCATGTGTGGGCCGTGGGCGAGATTGCCTCCTACAACGGTGGCATGTGCTACCAGCTCTCCGCGCCAGGCTACACGCAAGCTGAGGTCCTGGCCGACCACTTGACCAACCCTGGTGCAGATTCCAAGTTCATGGACGCAGACTTGTCGACCAAGCTGAAGTTGTTGGGAGTGGACGTGGCATCCTTCGGTGGTTCCTCCGATTTCTGGTTTAAGCGCCAGTACACCTCCACGGATCCTGAGCAGGTCCAGACGACTGTGGCCAAGGATGAGGCGTCGGGCTGCTACAAGAAGCTGGTCTTCACCGCCGACGGGACCAAGCTCCTGGGTGGGATTCTAGTCGGCGACATCTCCGACTTCGCATCCCTCACAGCGGTCTCCAAGAGAGCGGACATCGGCGGCCTGACGCCGGAGGAATTGATGGCCGGGAAGATGCCGAAGGTCGATGATGGCGGCGATGGGACCAACCTGGGAGATGAGGATTTGGTGTGCAACTGCCACTCTGTTCCGAAGAAAGTCATCCGGGACGCGATCAAGAACGGCGCTCACACCTTCGAGGACTCAAGAGCTGGGTCCCGTCCTTGCCGAGTCCTCTGCAGCTCCGTGCAGCCTTGCCGGCCTTGCTTCGCAGGACATCAAGAAGTGCACCAAAGCCGGTACCGGATGCGGCACCTGCATCCGGACCGGGCCACAGCCAAAGCTCTTGTCGCACACGCTGAACTCTCTTGGTGCCCCATCCAAGAGTTCTTGTTTGACCCACTTTTGGTTCGTGCTCGAGCCTTTGCAGTCATCAGGTGTGGAGAAGGGCTGCTGCAAAAGCCTTCCCTTCGAAGCCGACGACATCGAAGACCTGGCCAAGGCAGGCGCACATGCAAGTGACCTCGCCTGCGCTGACCTTGGGCAGCAGCTGAGGCCCGGCAGCTGAAGACTTATGAAGAGCTGGTGTCCAACGAGCCTCGGACTGGTGCGGGAGGGACTCGGAGAGCTTGGAGGTATTTGGAGGTGAAGGTCCCTGCTGTGCCGAGTTGGGCTACCCGCCGGCAGCGGTGGAGGGCGACAAGGCGGCGCTTGCCGGCGTCCTTGACAGGTCAGCGGAGTGCAAAGCAGCAGGGATACTAATGAATAAGGCTGAATGCTGCAATGCTGCATAAGGGCAAGCTTTGTGCATCGCAGAGTGCTGCAAGGATCGGTGGCAAGCCTAAGGGTGAAGGGATGGACCATGCCGGGCAGCTGAAGGCCCTGAAGGAAGACCTTTGGAAGTCTGAGTCTTAGCCTTCGTCATTCCTGGAGCACGCTCATTGCGTCCACTCAAGGTTTGGGTTGAAATTTAGGGCTGAGTGTCTGCAGGGTTTTGGGGGTTCAGGTTCGTTGACAAGATGAACTGCAACCCCATCCTGCTACGCCTCGCCTGGCATGATGCGGGCACCTACGACAAGTCCAAGAGCGACTTTGGAGACAGGGGCGGCGCCAACGGCTCCATCCGCTTCTCCCCGGAGATCACTATGGGGGCCAACAACGGCTTGGACAAAGCAGTGAAGTACTTGGAGCCCTTCAAGGCAGGGAAGGGCCTTTGTTGGGCGGGAACTGCCCAGAACCCGGCCCCAGGCTGACTACCCCTTAGTGTCGTATGCGGACCTCTACCAAATGGCAGCGGCCGTCAGCATTCAGCATGCTGGTGGACCCGAGATAGAGATGAAGTATGGTCGCAAGGACCCGAGCGGTGGTCTTGGTGTTCGGCATGGAGTCCTGCGCATTTTTGTTGACAGGACGCGACGGGCCCTGAAGCATGCCCTGGCCGTCAATCTCGAGGCTTTGCGCGTAATCATATTTCGACCCGGCCCAGTTAGCCCATAGGAGGGCTGGCAAGGGCTTGGGCTTGAGGGGCACCGCAGCCCTGTTTTTGTGGGAGAGTTTGTTTGCACCCATTGCAACTTCTCCTGGCAGGTACAGCCGACAACGCCGGGCTTCCTGATGCCGAGCCCGGCCCCGAGGGCAAATTTGGCTGCGGGGCCACAGATGCAGCAAGCCACCTGCGGAACATCTTCTACAGGAGACAGCTGCGAGTGTCGTAGACTTTGTAGGACAAAATTAGGCCATTGCAGGGTGTGCAAGGGCATGGACTCCAGGATGGGCTTCGATGACAAGGGCATCGTTGCGCTGTCCGGGGCACATACGATTGGCCGGGCTTTCAAAGAGCGAAGCGGCACGGTCAAAGAGGGCTATGGTGAGTCGAACGGCTGCCCTTACACGCGTGCCCTGCCAGCATCCTGCCCCATCAGACACGACGGGAAAGGAGGAGTTGGCATGCCGGGTGGGAAGTCGTGGACATCAAAATGGCTCAAGTTTGACAACGAATACTTCCAGCCCTCCGTCTATGAAGAGAAAGATGCCAATCTGCTTTGGTTGTCATCGGACCGGTGCCTTCACCAAGATGAGAGCTTCAAGAAATATTTTATGCAATACCGGGATGATCAGGCTGCTTTCTTCAAGGATTTCGCGGAGGCCTACAAGCAACTTTCAGAACAAGGGGCAGAGTTTGAGCCTGCAGGTGGAATTTCGATCTAAGAGTGCACGGCGAGGGCACATACTGTCAAAGGGCAGGGCTGATAAACAAAGCAGTGCTGCAACAGCTTCCACCCTCGAGTTTTCGGCATAGTGCCCAGTGTCACCCACAGCGCCCTTGAGAGCATGGTCGGCAAAGCTCGGCCGATATGCTTCCCGAGTTTGGGTGTGGATATCCATCATGCGATCTGGCAAATGCTGTTGCAGCTGTGAAATGTCGAAAACACTCCGGCGGCCCCGAGTAAAACAAGAGGAGCTGCATCGGAGACGAGCTTGATCGGAACAAGCAGCTGCGAGCGATGGCATGTCCCACAATCGCTGTGTCCCTTGCCGCAGATGTGATTCAGCGAGCACGAGAGGCCCTGACTGTGAGTTACACTTGTTTGTCTGCATAGCCAAGTTTGTCGGAGAGCGGCTTGCTTCTTGAAGTCTGATTCCTCATCTAGCCGTGTGCCAGTCTGGTGTGTCGGCCTCTTACGAGGGCTGTGCCGCCCTTGTTCAAAACCATCTCCGTGAGGTGGGGATCTCCGAAGTACCCGCGCTCGCTCTGCGTGTCGTCATGAAGTGTGATGGCTGACGAGGTCCACCAGCGGGCGCTGCGCTGTCTCGAGGCATGATGGGTGTGCGAAGCGGCGTAGAGACCGGCGGGTACGGGCCGGCTTGGCTGAGGACTGGAGTGGCCCCTATGGCGCGGAAGAGGGCGAATACTACTACAACCACCGTTTGAAGGCAAGGTCCAGGTGGAGTCAGGCAGATTGCAGGACAGTGGCACAATCGAGGTAAGCACCTGGGACTGTCCGGTGACGGAGTGGGAGCAGGCAAACTCGGGACAAGCGCAATAGTTTGTGGGCGTATACAAACCGAAGAGTCTGTGACGTGGGCATGTGAGAAGATGTTGGAGGAGCTGATGACGCGGCAGGCCGTGCTCTACTGGTGCCGCTCTCGGCTCTCGCTCAAAAAATCGCTCCAGAGCAGAACCTTGCCGAGTCGGAGTATGTCGGAGTCCGGAGTCGGTCGCCGTTTTAAACGGTATCGCCTTTCTGTCAAAGGTGCCTGATGGGACCTGGACGCCCCGATGGCGGAGCTCCGCCGGAAGCTCGCTTTCAGCAGGGCCAGCAAACACCACGCCAGTCCAAGGTCCGAGGCAGCTTCAGGTTCCGATGGCGACGAAGGTTGGAACAGACGCCAGAAGCGACAGCATGCGACAGCCGAAGCTTCGGAAGCTCCGTTGCGACAGGCTTTGGACCGGATCTGCTACGAGCCCTGCGTTTGCCCCTGAACCTGGTAAGGCTGGGTCTTGGTCTGCAGTTGCAAAGCAGAAAGAGAGCGAACGCACAAACGCTGCGAGGCGCGAGAGCGTCAGCACTCCTCCCTCCACCCCCTCCACAGCAAGGCAGGACCTCGGCGACCACGTGAGAAGGAGGGCCCTTGCATTGACTCAGGTCGTTTCATACAGCCCCACCCTGAGTCGAGTTTTGTCAGCTACTCGAGCAGAGCGGCCTTGGCGTGGAGAGTTTTGACAGACAGGCACGGTCCATGCACTCGAGCAGATCGCAGCGAAGCCGAATGACAGCAGAGGACATCACGGACAGGCCAAGGGACAAATCATCTTTTGGAGGTTGAGGCCCAGTACATTCCAAACTTGCAGTTTTCTGAGGGGCAAGGCTCAAGGTTCTGTTCAGGGTGGACATGTGCTTCGACGCTCGACGCTTCCCTCAGCAGGGGCTCCGCTCGCGGCTCGCCGCCCAGCGGCTCGCCTCGCGAGGCTTTGGCTGCCTGAGTCCGGAGCCCAGCGGGGCCCAGCCCCGCTCCCACGCGGCGTTTTTTCTGCGCTGAGAGCCACAGCGGCTGAGCCGACGAGACCTTCCGAGTCGCAGCACGGCTTGGGTGTTAGGGTTGCAGGCTGCAGGACAGGTTTCGCCGTGATTTGCTGACATGTGCTGTTTTCGGGCCGACAGCTGGCTTGACTCTCTGACAAAATGGACAACATGACAGTACGATGGTAGAGGATAAAGAAGGAGGTTCCACGTCGAGGACGGTATTAAGAGGCGTCAGCATGCGTCAGCTCTATCCTGTTAAGACTTCCGATAGCAGCAGGTTCCAATCTCCGGCTGTAACCTTGGCTGTATGTCCGTGCCATGAGACGTGATGGGTATTCACGGGTTGCAAGCAACGCTGGCAATCCGAAGCCGGAGCTTGACAAAAGTGTACAGGTAATTCTGCGAACCCAATTCCTTCGGCATTCTCTGCTTTCTTGGGTGGTGTTGCCGCTGGCTGTGTATGGCTGGGAATCATTAGCGCCAAGGCAATTCAGGGCTTCCTGTTCGCAGGGCTACTCCTTGATCAGTTTGCTTCCGCTATTTCTGGTGGAGCTTCACTACTTGTATGCCGAGTCCTGTGCATGGTCGGCAATGAAGTCCTTAGTGTCTGAGCCCGAGCTTGTGATCCTGAAGCACTTCGGAGTGTTGCAGCACAGGAAGTGGCTCTTGCTGCTTGGACTCTGTGAAGGCTTTATACTTTTCACTGATGCAACCTTTCCCTTCGTTGCGCGGGCATGTGACGAGATCCTCACGGAAGATTGGGGCACGGCATGGGGCGACGTCCCCCTCGTGGGACAATCTATCGCCAGCCTCGTAAGAGCTGTAAGGTTCTGGGGCTTTGCGCTTCTTGCTACTGCAACAGTCATCCTCGTGAATGGTGTCGCTGGCCTGTTGCTTTGCATCCCCTTCAGCCACGATGGGCAGGCCACTGGTACGGATTTCGTGGCCTGGGCACGAGCAGCAGAGACGGCGCTGATGCCAAGCGTGGCAATGCTCGCCGAGGAAATGGCGAACCAGAAGCGCCATTTTGCGGATCACAGCCAAGAAAAAGATGCTCGAGAAGGAGGAGGTGCTGCTCCTTTCGGCAATAAACTGGATCCCGACACTGCAGTCATGTATGAGGACTTCAATCGAAACCTGGCAGCTCACATCCACTTCTCGGAGAGCGCTCACTTCATGCTGCTGATGCTGGGCAAGCTTTTGTTGGGTCGATGCTTGCAGCTCTGGATTCAGAGCTCCTTTCTGGCCCTGGCGTTCCATCGAGAAGCTGCTGGTGCCAAGGACAAAGTGATCCTCGGATGCTGCCTCGGAGCCACGCTGCTCTTACACCGTGCGATGCACAGCATGAAGATGCTCGGCTGCATGGGGCTCCCGCTGCTGCTCTTAATCATTGCTTGCGTTGCTTGGTCCGGTGCAAAAATCGCCTGGGCCTTTTTCTGCCCCGATCACATTTGGAACTTGACTACAGGGTGTGTGAAGCTTTCCCAGCACTAGTCGCGAATTGCGATTTGACTGGACTCTAACGTGCACCTGCGCTGATGTCAAATAAGTCTTGCTTCGATGTGGTTTTAGCCGTGTATGCCTCAGACTCGCCGCGTCACATCTCGTTCTGGATGTCCAAGATCGCAAGATTGAGCGGGGGATCACCTGGGAAGTCTTTGAGCATCACCCCGAGGTGTCACAAGTCAACGCTTCCAACGACAGGGTCGTCTGTTGACTCTGACTGGCGTCCAAGCACCAGTGTCTGGCTATCGCATCTTCAGATGTGATTGTTACAGGCCGTAGCTAAGGCTGACTGTTGACCCGGACCTGTGCTAGCTTGGCTGGTGAGAGTGTCTGGCAAATGCCGTCTCTTTGTTGCAGATGCGACAGCTCGGCCGCTTCGACTCATCACCAGCAGTCGCAAGTAACCATGTGCATAACTTGGTCAGACACTGAGCAAAGGAACTTGCTGCAAGCGGAGGCATAATTTGAAGGTTTGTTTGTGGCATGCCTGGCGGCTTTGCAACTTCCCAATTCGTGTCACATTGGGCATGCTGCCACCAACAAATGAGGCCTAGGTGGACAGCCTTTCTGAAGGTGCTTCGTTTCTAATCCAAGTGCCTTGCAGAGGCTTCTTGTTCCTGGAGGCAGCCCCCCTTTGTCAGCTTCTTTGCGTATGCTGTCAAAGGGAGGCTTAGGCTGTCTTGTAGTAGGCTGGCACGTGGAAACACGCCCGGACAGTGCTACCAACACATCGAACTAGGCTCGTGAACCATAGAGGCCAGGCTTGTTTCCATCTGAGCAAAGCACGTGCCAGATGTGCAGCAAAAAGCATTCGCGGTGAGGTATTGATCACTTTAGTTCTGTGACATTCGCTGGTAGGAATGGTGACTGCCAAGGGTGTGCGGGGGTTTGGAATGCGCGATACCGGTGCTTTGCGGGCTGGCATTCTACTCTGCAGATATTCACCATCATTCACCCCAGTAGCACATGTTCAGACGCTTCCTTCAGCACTTTGAAGATTCTGCGAGTTGCCCAGTGACGCCATGGCGGCGTTATTGGCTGCTGAGCCCGTCTGCCCCCAGCGCCTGTGCGATGCTTGGACCAGCCACAAGACACTGCCACGCATGGTTTGACCGCTCAGGCCTGCTGATGACATGCTCGCCGCGAAGGAGGTCAGCTATTTTCTTCCTTGAACTGGGCAGGAAAAACCGCTGTCTTGGGCATGGCATGGCATGGCCCCGCTCAGGAGGACAGTGATGTCGAGGATGATGTGGAGGGCCGGCATCAATTCTCCGCCGAGGAGCCTCGGCGCGCTCAAAATTGGACTCTCTCTCCCTCTGTTTTTTCTTTTCTGGAGGAGACCTTGATCATCTTCGACTGGGATGACACGGTGATGCCTTCCTCGTGGGTCTTGAGCTTGCTGCCAGCTCCGCAGGCGCTGCTAAGCCGCCCTCCGCTGAGGTTATGGAGGAGGGGCTCAGCCTTGAGGGCGAGGACCTGGGACCTTTGGAGTTCGGGTCACAGCCGGCCCGAAAGATGACGCGCGCCAGGATTTCACGCCAGAGCAACAGGATCGGCCCTCGGCGCTTGTTTCACGGCCATGGAAGAAAATAAAGAACAACATCGGGATAGCGGGGGCCCGCACCAGGCGAAGCTCTCCGAGCTGGCGAGGTCCGGGGGCGGCCTTGTCACGTTTCTTTGCCTCTCTTGAGCCTCCGAGGCTCGCGACACAGACGCTGACTCTGGCTGGGAGCCCCTGGGAGCCCCACACTTCTTAGGGGGACTGTCCCAGCATTGACTTGGTGAGGCCATGCGCCTGGGCACCGTGGCCAGCACCTCGCGTTCACGACGCATGTTCAGCTTCGAAGAGTCTCAGAGCCAAGTTACTCGTCACCAATGCGGAGCATGGGTGGGCGTGGCTCTCATCACTGCATGTTTTGCCTGTGGGGACGGTCTAAGCAGAGAATGTGTGGACAGGTTCATAACATTTGTGTGTGTGTGTGAAACTCCTGT